TAGCCATTTTATAGATTACTTTATATGGCAGAAAATGTGTAGATAGGGCACCATACTCCTCTCTGTAATGTTGCAAAGACAGTGCTGGCAAACCTCCAGCACTCGCTGTATAAACCGTGGGTCATTGTATCATAGCAGGCTTCATCTGTTACTAAATGATAGTGATTTATGAGCCTTGCATTAGCGCATCGATCGAACCAGAATTAACTCACTGTACAAGACGAGGCAGCATATGCTGCACTGTTATGTAATTTCAATCAGACTCATAAACACACAAATATTGATTGGTAGATTGTTGAGCGCGGATGGTGTTTTTTGGTTTTGGACTGTTGGCTTAAACCAATTTTAAACCAATGGAGATTTTAAGATGCTTTATATTAAACTTTGTGTTCATTCAAAACTATTTGGACATTATATTGTGATGTATATATATATATATATATATATATATATATATATATATATATATATATATATATATATATATATATATATATATATATATATATATATATACACTAAGGTCTATTCTATATATTTTTAATTCTATAAGCAAAATTTACCGATATAGGCGTTACGATCTTAAAATCCATAACAAGGCCTGCAAAATTATTATTATTATTATTTAATGTCTACAACAAATGGACTTCTCATTTTTCTTTATGAACATAATATAAAACATAATTTGTTAATTGTTAATCTCTATAGGAACAGTCCTAATATTTCCTTTTTCATAAACCATAGATTGGTGATATTTTGAGGACTTTTGCCCCTTTCAAAGAGTACAATTTTTAGTTTTGAATTACTAATTGCCATGGCAACGGTGCTAGATTTTCATCAAGATAACTCGCGAGAATCGTGTTTTTGCCCTTGTTGATGGTCGTTGAGCGCTGTGCAGGACTCATGTGACAGCCGGGGCAGCAGGCTAAGAGGCGTTAGCGCTGGTGAGAAGGATTAGCCCGATCTCTTAGTCCTCCTTTTCTTTCCCCGGGGCGGTGTCATGTCTCATTACTGCTGTCCGCCTGCGTGGATGGTCGTCTGGCTTTAGCAGGATGCGTTTAAGGCCTGGGCAGGTCAGGCGTCCAGGAACACCAGATTTAGAAGAGCACTGATACGTGTGGCCTTCTCATGAGAGGCTTTTTGCAGTAAGCAGACAGGTAAACATCTCCCAAAGCTGGCATTGATGGCAGCTAAGCCCTGCCTCGTTTAAGTGAAACGGATGGCTATACAATTCACAAAGCTGCCCAGGCCCGTCCTACAAAAATAGATGACAGTTTAACCTGCATTTAGATACATTTCCACTAACATGTACAGGCTGCGTGCAGGGAAATGAGAAAAACCGTCAAGGTACCATAAGGACACAAGGCTAAAACTTTAGCCACTGACTTGTTTTTAGTTGAGAATAATAATACATGTGTTGCATACTTAACTCTTCTTTACATTGCATTATTCATTCACATCATACTTGGTGGTAAAGTGCCATCAGTCATTCTTTGGCAAGGTGGGTGAAGTGTCTCGCTTAAGAGCACAAAACTTACTGTAAAAAAGGTCAAAAGAAAACATACAACAACATTCACCACCATTTAACAGCAAGAGATAACCAATAGAACAATAGATAACAATTGAGTTACTACATTTGTATTATCTGTAGTTTTAAAAAGTGCAATATTTTATTCTACTGCAGTATTGATTTAAAGCAGACATGTCAAACTCAGGCCCATGGGCCAAATTTGGCCTGTAATATAATTATATTTGGCCCACGAGATCATATTAAATATGTATTAGAGCTGGTCCACCGGCTACAGATAGACTATAGAGATGTTATTTATTTAAAATTGTGTTATTATTTTATATTATGTTTAAGCAAAACTATTATTAAACATTTATTTTATTAAGCAAAGGTTTCACATTGCATAATTGTAAAGAAGAGAAAACATGCAGATGTTGAAATTTTTCAATAAATATTTAGTTTGGCCCACGACTTAGTCCCAGTTTTTAATTTTGGCCTCTGTGAATTAGAGTTTGACACCCCCGATTTAAAGAAAAAAATAGCCATGGTAGACATATATTCACAATTTCATGGTTTGAATCACTGCTTTATGATCATTTTATGATCAGAAGAATTGTCATTATATGTATTAATAGTTTTAGACTTTTCTGTCTCATATCAGTTTTGATAGATCTTGTATTCAAAGGCAGGCACTCAGTAGGTTATCTCATTTAATTGTAACAGTATTTCCTGTTTTCTTTACATTGTTTATTCCTTTGTTGGGTTCAGTCAATGGTCCTTTTCACATATGTTTTAAATATGTTGCAGCTCTTTAGTTTAGACTGCTCCTCTGGTAAGCACGTATTGAGAGTGAGTCCTTTTTGTTTAAGTGGCTCATTAGAAAAATCACTGGTGTTAATCCAGGGAACACAAACACACAGACTATAGCTCTTTTCTTGTGAAGCTAACAGGCTACAGTGCACAGTCAGTCATGCAGTCATTAGCTGAGTTCATTAGTTTTGTTGTAAAGTCCGCTCTTATATGGGTCAGTGGATGCAGTGTTTAGAGTGCGCTGTGCCACATTGACCCGTGTCTCCGTCCCAGCTGGTCCTCCGAAGCGGCGCAGCTCTTCTAGCTTCAGTGGGACGGGCTAATCTAGGTGGCGGGAGGTCTGCCTCCTGCTAGCGTACACAAGAGAGGGCAGTCCTAATTGCTTATGTCGTAAAGCTCCCTGACCCAGATAAGCCGTCACTCCCCAAAGCTGTTGAGATAAAACCCACTTTACCTCACCAAACCTGGCTCCCCTGATCTGCACAGACACCCCCGCTGGACACCTACGCGCCTTCTGCCACCCAGTAACACCCAGCAAAGAGCATCGCAAAGAGAGTGCAAAATTAGCAATAGGGCTGCAAGATGAGGCGCCATTGAAATTCTAATTTTAATGGACACAATTAGCAAAGGCTGTAGTTTTTGGAGTAACATAATTATAATCCTGTCGTATTCTGCATAAAAAATGACTAACCTTGTAGTTTAGATCTGTACAAACATGTTATGAAATTTGATTCTTCTATTAGTTTATCTTTTTGTCAATTTAAAATGTGAACAGAAATGTATTATTAAAATATAAATCGCAAATAAGGTTTTTGACTCCACCAGAAAACTTACATATTGCCCCTTTAATAACTGTTGGGACTAAAGAGTATTGAAAAGCATAATAAAATCTTTTCTGTGCTTTGCTTACAAGTAGAAAAAGCCAATTTAGATAATGAGTGGAGAATTAAGTTAGACGTTTTATTATTTTTCTTTTCTAGTAATGAACACGTGAACAGTATTGTTCATTGAAGATCAGTAGACTGGAGTAGATTGAAAAGCAACAGTTGGTTGTGTTTGCCCAGTGGAGCAACGATAATTATGACGATGATGAAGAGGTGCCTTTAACCAAAACTGAAAGCTAAAAAGCGGAGCATGGCGTAGCTTGTGTCCCTTGCCTCGTGCCCTGATCACCACTGAGCTGTGCACAAAGCAGGCTTAGCTTCCAACACCGCAGACAGTTGTGTCACACGTGCATTACAAACATATGGCCTACAGAGCGAGGGAACACTGAATCTTTGGACTACAATCTGGAAGTTTCCATTGAATAAAGAACATTTCACTGTCTGTTGAACACAGCAATATTTAGATTAGAGATCGACCAAGATGGCAGAAAATATATCATCTGAAATTACTTCAAACTCAGTATATACAACATGATTAACTGCACTGATAAGCTCTGCCAAAAAATCTATAAAAATCATTTTAGACAACCACAATCCTGTTTTACTATTTACTATTATTATTATTGATTTACTATTGTGTCAGATATTGTGCAATGATACTGTCGCAGTAAAGAGATAAAATAAAGCTTTAGGTCTTTTTCATTCCAAACCAAATACCGATTTATGCCGCAGATTAAAGGTCGATAGTCAACACACTATAAATTATATTTCTAACTGAGATACAATATTGTATAAACCAAAACAACATCAAACACATAATATTTCTGGGCAAATATTATGTGTTATAAGCACTTAGTCAATAGGTCATGTGTTTACGCTACAAATTTTGTCAATTTTTAATTCAGGAGGGCTGAATCAGATCAAATTTTGGGTTGTTTATTATTGTAGTGATCTATTTTTTGCTGGTCATTTAAATACATGTAATGTCTGTAGACCAAGTATAGGACTTTTTAATTGTCAGGTGGCCTTTCTCACCTTTTAATCAGCCGTCACACACGAACGGTGCAGAGATGCTTTTAAAGCCTTACCTTAAGCCATGTTACCACGGCTTTACGTCAACTGTGTCAAGTACTTTGCCAAAGATACTACTACTACTGATACTTACAGTACTTGTTTACTCCCCTGTACACCTTTACAACCGAGTACAATATGGAGTAAAATATAGAGTTATAAAGTGTATGACCTGGTGCTATTCAAAGTTTGTCATCTTGTAACAATTTAGCTTCCTTATGTAAAGATGCACTATGTAACTTTTGGTGGAGGGTCAGCTACCTACTTATCTCCTTGGAGATTATTGCTCTACCTGGAATGTTTAATAGAATTAAACGTATCTATTTTGCGTTTGTTCATTACAGCTCAGGTGTTTTCATTGCGAGAAAACACCTTCAAAAATATGCCGTCTTACTCTGAGCAGGGTCGCCTCTCCATAGGTTTGACTTGTAACTTAGCATCATCTTCTTGTCCCCATGAAGATTGAAGTTTAATGTCATAGTATGGAACATTTCAGGCAAAACAATGGAGTCAAATAGGTACAAAAAGTTGCATGGTACCTTTAAACGAAGTAATAAGTGTTTTTTCTTTTTAGTCTTTTTTAATCCCATTGCTGAAGATGAGTGATTGGATTTGACACTTTTAGTACAGCCAATTGTCAGCGTTAAAAAACAAGTAGAGGTTATTAACAGAATTCAATTTATTAAAACTCACAACACAAGATTATAAACATTTTCTGTCAGGTCAAAAATGATAAAATGATTTACAACCAAGAGCCACTGATAACCAATATATTTCAAAATGTCTTGCGCACATTATAGCAAAAACTAAATATTTTACCCCAAACATTTGTGCTACAGTTTCCTGCTTGGAGACACTTCAGTCAACACAAAACATGACACAATAAATATTAAAACATTTTAAACAGAACAAATTTGCAAATACTTAGCAATAATACCACAAATAAAGAATATGTAGCACTCAAGATGTGACAAATGTGTTGAATAGCGAACAATACTGTCAGTGTTAAGAGGAGACGCAGGCGTTTTGCAGTGGCTTATTTCAGTCCATTTGAATGTAGTGTACAATTTAACCATGCTACAATTAAATGCTTAAAAAGAGCTGCCATTAAAAACAGTGATAAATGCGGTAAAAGCAGTTTATTTACTTTTCCAGTGTTAAACGTTGCAGTAGTTTCTGCAATTTGGCAAAATGCTTGTCACCTTCTCTGCATAAGTGGTAATTAACTTGTCTTAGTTTGAAAAAAACAAAACAAAACACACATTTAACAGGCATTAAATTAACTCCTGTAAGCCTGTATAAAACACCCCAGCTACATACTGTGCAATACACTTTACAAAGGAGGCGATCTCTGTAGCCCTCTTGTGGCTACTCACTGGCATTGATCATCATGGCAATAATAAGAGCTTTAAAGTACGCACACATCCTTTACCTGAAAATGCTGATTGTGTTTTGTCAGTACTCATTTAAAAGCCATAGTACAAATATACTGTCACTAGAGAGCGTAAGACAATTTACCTGGAGTAAGCCTATAGTCGATAAAAATGGCAATAAACAAGATAAAAATTAATTCTGTTATTGTCACGATTTAGCTGTGACGTTAGCCTTAATTAATGTCAAATCGCTGCCCAGACAGTTTTTTTGTTAAAAGAGATGCATGTTTCCATAGAGATGTTATTACTTATTACTTGCAAAAATATCTAAATATTGATATATCGTATAATTATTGTGATGATACAGTATCGATATTGTGGGCTGCTGTATCGATATATCACCAAGCGTATTTTTTGGTGTATTTTACAAAATTATTTTTGCTGCAGTGCTTCAGTTTTGTTGCTTGTTCAGAGGAAGAAAATTCATTTATGCAGCACATTTGACATATTCATTCATTGTTTTGAGTAAAATTAGCCTGATTCATCAGCCGGTTTCACTTCGTGAAAACTGTCTGACCTTGCAGCATTAGGATTTGTTTGCTTGATGGTAGGCGTGGACATTTTTAATTAACCAATCACTGCTATTTGGTTGTGACGTATGTAATGCGCCGCTAACGGGGTTAACTGGTATATTAAGCTTTTCCCAAATCCTGCAGGAAGAAGAGCAATAACGTCTTTCCGCTTGATAAAATTCACCAAACATTCTCTTTGTTCTGGCTTTAAATCCTTGATAGTGGGAATCGTTGCCAACACAGAATGTATGGTTCTTCGCTGATTGGCTGGTGCCTGAACTTGCACTTCTGGGGTTCTTGCAAACCGTTTAGTGCATTTTGATTCCTGAACTAGTCGCTGGAGAGAAATGAAATTGAGCGGAGGCACTAGGTGGCACCAGCCTGGCTAGTGTTTCATATTAACTTGCACAAGAAGTGGTTTAACAACGACTTTTAGTATCACAGTCATGATTTAGCCTTTATTTTTTATTGTACCATATCGTATCAAACTGAAAGTGCACTGTATCGAGATCTGTATCGTATCGTGGCCTATATATCAAGGTATGTATGATATCGGCAGCTTCTGAATGATATCCAGCCCTAGTAATTTTCCACAGTATGGCATTAAACTCATCTATCTTGATGCAGACAAGCAGGTGGCCCAACATGGACAAGTTAGTTCTGTGGAGACTAACCTGCTCACAGTCTGAATGCATGTTTTTCAAGGTTCCGGGAAAAAAAAAAAAAGCGAAATAATGCCATTCTGTGGAACAATAACATCTCTATGGAGACAAGCAGGTGGCGCACCCTCCCATCATAAAACACACGAGGTATTATGTTTTGATTACTTTGTTTTTTTATAGTCAGAGAGGTTCTTAATTCTTAATAATTTTTTTTCCTGTCGTATTTTTGCCCAAAGGGAAGTTCCGAAAAACCCCTAAGGCTATATTTAATTAATTTAAGCTCTGGCAATACAACCTTTTATAACTAGAACAAAATGTAGGCCAGTGCATTTATCCTGACTCCAAATCAGAACAATTGAGGCCTTAGGAGCAAGTCACGAAGTTTCATTTAAAAACTACAAAAATACAAGTCCATTTTTCCAACAGGGTGGTCACGTATTCTGTTTTAGCATCTCCGTGCCGACGATGGATACTTGGTTTTTAGTCCCTCTTTGAAGCTACGAAACAGGACCCGATTTCGTTTGTTCTCTTCGTCTTTTTTGGCGTGAAATTCCCCTTGAATCTTGAATCCTCGATGGACCACAAAAGCTGAATAAAACGGAAAACCTGTATCCAGCCACGTGTAATTCACAGGCCTAAAAGAAACACGAGGATGAAAGGATTAGAGAGAGATATACACAGTGAACGGTTTGACATTTTGGCATACATTGAAAGGAAATGGAAATCTGGGCATGTCTGATATAGAAGGAGGGAACAGAAATGATGCAGAATGACAATATGAGAATGAGAAATGGCATCTGAATTGGAAATGCTCTTTGAACATAATGTACTTTTCAGCCATGAAAAACGTGTCTGCATATTTTTATACAATTTCAGCATACGATTCCATACATCGTACATTTTACACTTTTATTTTTCAAGATAACTCTAACAGCTTTTGTGCGAAGAAATTGGATTTAAATTGACAAGTTATTTGATAAAGAGCAAAGAATATAAACAGGAAATGCTTTGTTTGATCTGTTTTTTGTCTTTTACAGGCTTTTAAATATATTTTATGTACAAATATTTGTCTGTATTGTGTGTGGATCAAAATATTTTGAAATATAGCTTGGACAAGCGTCAAAGTAAGACTCAAGATATTCCATGTTAGAGTATTATAAAGCTGTGACACTCTAACAGGGATAAATATATGATTAAATGTATTTATCCATATAATAATTTATATTACGCTATTTTCTGATCTCTTATATTGTTGTTTCCTCATTAAACGTACCTGGAGTTGTGTTTTGTTTCTTTCACACGTAATTAACTTTAAATAAACTCTGCATGTTTAGCCTGTGTTCTTTTCTCTGTCATGTAGTAATATAGGAAGTGCTCCACTGTGTTTTTAAACTCCATACACCTTCAATAGAATCATTTGGATGATTTCAGTCCTGGAATTTTCAATCTTTACTGAAAGTTGAGTAGCAGCAGTAGTTGTAAAAGGTAGCTGTTAACTTGAAATCTGTGACATCACAAGGTGGAACAGAGCATTTTGATCTTTGGAGATGTGGACAGACTAATAATAAAGAGTTACTCAGACAGGTGTGAGTGACAGAAAACACAACTCCATGTCTGTTTTTGAGGAGGTAACAGCATTATAACAGTTTAAAGTTCACAAAAATCAATTTTGTGTAAGCTCTTTCATCTTTAGAAGAAATTGAACTGCAAATGCCACGGGATAGTCACACGTAACAGCATTCAAAATTATAAAATGTATGTATATTTATCAGTAATATTTTATTAAATGTTGGCTGTGATAGGAGTTTCACTATTTTTGTATGACAGGAAGCAAAGAAGATCACTTTGAACTAAGACTATAATAAAAACTAATAACTATAATAACTTTTCATAATGCTATGTAAGTGATGATGTTATTTTTTTATTTCTGCAGTTCCACTTAGTACCCACCTGACTGATGCGATTGAAGCCGTACTGTTTGAAGCCCTCATCATACAACGGCACAGTGCGGGGACCTATGTAAAAGGGCTCCCAAGGGTCCACCCACGTCAGAGTATAGGACACTTCCAGAGGTGCGCTGCCCCTTACGTGGATGTTCACCCACTGGGAGTAGTTCGTAGGGGCTTGGCATCTTGGACACAGCTCCTCGTAGAACGGCCTTACCTCTCCCACCTGGTACAGCTGGACCAACTCTGGCTTTGTGGCTGGCATTTTACGATCATGGCGAATTTCAAAAGCGGGCAAAACGAAAACCTCATCACTATTTGGTTCACGTGCCATGATCATTGCTAAAAACTGCTGATGGAGATCTGAACTTGGCATCATATCAATGTCAATAACCAGAATGTAAGATGAGTCTGTACCACTTCTAGCCACATTACGAAGCAGGTTATTAGGATAGGAGATATTCCCACTTATGGCATAGTTTTGGAATTTATCTCTATGATTTTCTAGTCTTTTAAACACAGAAGAGCAGTCCTTGAGTCCAGCAAAATGTTCCCGGTCTTGTTCAGGGAAGCTGGCCATTTCTCCAGAAAGGCAAACCAGGTGAAAGTCCACAAGTGCTTGGATTCTGGGGCAGAAAAAGCTAAGCGCATAAACCAAGGCTGTAGAAAATTTAACATCTTGATCATGTGCAAATATAGCCACTGATAGAGGATTTTGCCACCTTTCCAAAAGAGAATCCAGGTGGTGCAGGTTGTTTAGGGTTGTGTGAGTAGCTAGAGACAGAATATTTGGGTTATCCTGTGATCCTGGCTTTAGATTAGCGGTGAAATCACTTTTTATTAGGTTTTTGTAGATCCTGTATTGGCCGCTGTTATCAAAGATGCCACCAGTTGAAAGGGAGTACCTGAGCCGCTCCTTCCGTGCGTTTTTCTCAGGTTGCGTGGCTTTTGTTTTGGATCCCGAGCCCCCAAAAAGCTCTGAGTATCGGTACCGCTGTTGTTTGCCGTGAAATTTTGACAGGAATGAAAGGTAGATTAGCTGCAGCAGCGCCACAATGAGCAGAGCACTCAGCACCACTCTGAAAACGGAGCATTTCTTTGATAGATGCATTACAGAAAAAGCGGTGCTGTAGTCAAACCAGGTCCAAACGGCGAGGTAGGCACAAGCTATTTCTGTCCAGGCGTCCCAGCTACTTTAACCAGCACCATGCTAACGCTATGGCTAAACACGCTGCAAATCTAAAACAGACATGACGGTGATTCTGTCATTGGTACCTCATATATGTGGTTAGATCCGTAAACACCTTGCATTACTGGTAAATAATTGGGCTATTTCATTCATCGTCATCGAAACACTGATTTGGCCATTTCGCAGCTGATGCGACGTAGCGCGCACAGTGACGCGTAAGTACCGTAATGGTACTGGTAAAAGCGCATATTAATTCTAATCATGCCCTCAAAATATAATTGGGCTCATGTTTCAGGCTCGCACGTACACTATGAAAACACAAACATTATTGTATCTATAGTAATTGTGGGTGAGCAATGATATTTTGGCCAGAAATATTTGTACAATTGAATCGGTAGTTTTGTTTTTAAGTTACTGCGCATGTGCAGTGTGGTATCTGGACGAGGTGGCCGAGTGGTTAAGGCGATGGACTGCTAATCCATTGTGCTCTGCACGCGTGGGTTCGAATCCCATCCTCGTCGACAAACGTTTTTGTTTTTGAAACCTTCAGAACCCATTTTTTATTTACTAGCGGATTTATAAGTGATTCTTAATCATAGGGCCGCGACAAACATGTGCTGCGAGCGCCATCTAGAGGCCGCAAAAAAACTTTCAGTTTTGCACCAGTGAGCCGCGGGACTGCGTCAGGGTCGCTAACTGGCGGACCGCGGTGCGAGTCCCGACCCAGACGCCATCCCTTAAACCCGGACAGGTTCAGCCCGACGTACCCATGGATCTACTAAAATAACGAGTAATAATACGGAATGTACCCTGTACCTCTGTTCCCCCAGGAAACAGAAGTACCTCCAACTGCGAAAGGTATCTACACCGCTGGCCGTCCTCAGATATCTGTTGAAAGAGATGTGAAAGCTAAAAAAAATTGGAAACTCAAGCTGCCTTTTTTTTTTTCCCCCTGAAATTAAGCACTTTGTTTCAAGATGCACAATTTAGCCATTTTGATTTATTTTCTTTAATAAATTTTAAACTGCAGCCCTATATCTAATGTAGGCCTACTGTGTGATTTAGTGTTAACAACAGTACGTTTTGTTGAAATGTTTTTAACTTGTGTTTTTGTTGATTTGACAGTCTATTGTTCATACATTCAAACACTGATAAAACTAGGCTACTTCTGTATCACAATCATAACGCAAGTTAGACATTCTGATGTCCCAGACCTCTGCTTGAGGAGATTTTCTTAACCGGACCTCCTCAATTTTTAGTTGAATACCCCTGCTCTGCGCTGGAAAAATCGGGCCACAGCGTCAAAAAGGTTAAGAACCTCTGATTTATAATATACTAGTAGACTCTAGGACGTACTGTCATTCTTTTAGAAGGGAGCAAGTTTTTCTCAATGATTACATTGTACTTTGCCATGAAATACTTAAAAAATAAACACATGTTGAATTTGATAATGCCTATGCTTAACCAGATCCTAGAGCCCACTGTATTACAACAATTGAAGATTGTTGATATTACAGAAACCCAGCAATGGAAAAAACCCAGTAACACTTGTGATTGCATAAAACATGTAGCTATTGTGGAGCAAAATACAAAAGAGATGGTTCTTTTGCAACATTTAATTTGACTTCACTTCACTGATTTCAAAGCGGTCACAGGAGAGCACATCACTTCTAAAACTGTGCTCCCTGCAACTGTTTCTTGCATGTTCGGTAGAGGAAATAAACATTGATTTGAACTTAAAATTCAATATAATATATATATACTACACTAGCCAACCTCTGTACTAAAATAAAATTGCAGTTGCAGAAGTGAACACTCATTTCCTCATAGTTTTAGTCTAAAATTGTTTCAAATGTTTCAGGTTTCATGTCTCAGGTTTCAAATTTGTTCCTCTCATTGTGAATGTGTATTTCCCAGTCTTTGTACAAACATGTCAAAAATCTCAAAGAAATTAAAGTACAACAACAAGTACATTTTGTGAGGTCTATGAATTTATTCCAACATGCAGACAATAAACCTTCAGCCAATGATTTTCAACAAAGGGCAGTTTCACAGAAATGGAGTAGCAAAGAAACATAATTGTTATTACAAATGACATAAATACTAAAGTAGAAATGACTTGACATGATTGTGGAAAAGATGCATAAACAAACTCGGATTTAGTAACTTTAACCCTATGTTTGAGTATAGAATTTAGATCTAGCTAATGTCAACTTTTATAACAAATTAAGACACTAAAACACCAGTCCCACTTTTTGATCCTCCTCCTTCACTGTTCTGGTTGGATGCTGCCGTTTGGCCTTGTGAATCCGCCTCTCCTTCACCGACCAATCGAATGTTGTACTTCTCCCTGTACTCCGTAAGCTCCCGACCTTTTGTCTGCATCTGTGCGTTAATGGACTCAATAATTTTGGAAATCTGTTGAAGAGATATTACACGGTTATTGCACGATGATTACATGATTTACAAGGAACTTGCAGAGGTTGAATTCTTTACTTGTTCTTTGTTGTTTTCCAAAGCCGGCAAAACTTCTTTTACTGTTCTTTCAACCAAAACGCCTCCAACAAGACGAAAGCATTTCCTAGAGGGGTCGACGTCTTTTAGGGTATCTATTACTAAACTGAAAAGGAAGAGGGGTTACTTGTTTGAATAATTTGAGATTTTTATGAAATCATCAAAATTCGAAAACCTACGTGTGTTCATTGATGTCCATCTCCAGCTCTGCCGCTTTGGATGCCATACTACGCTGCTCCTGCCGCATCCTCTGAAATGTGCCCACCACCTTAAGAAAAAATTAAATATACACATACTGTGAAGGTAAATAAATACAGTTTTTCTTCCACATGTAAAAAAGCAAACAAGACTGACATTTGGTTTTATAATAAATCAAGTATACATTGTCCAGAGAGATATTAGAACTTTCAGATAATGCGTTTTTAATTTTAAAATGATAAATTCCTCTTTTGAACTGAGCCCATGTCCAAAACACAAAGTTGTAAATTGGGCAGAGATAAAAATAGCAACTCACGCTGTCAAACCCAGTGAGTGCACACCCACAGAACAGGAATTAGGAAAATTATGGTTACGAAATTACTCATTTTTTAAAAAGATAAAATACTGAAAACAGCACGGCACAGTTTGTGGGAGTGAAAGTGTTTTTTGTGTCACTTAAGTCAAGCATCATGTTGGTTTGATGAAGACGATGAGGAAGCTAAAGTTAGCCTCGATTAGCAACGTGACAGAATCGGGGAGCATTTACGCGGCTCTTTTCAGAACTAAACTGCAGATAAGATAAAATACCACTCATAAATCCTGACAGCGATCATATTATACCTGTTCTGCGGTCAGGCCGGACTGTTTTCCGCCGCCGCCACTGCCGGATTTGCTGCCCGTGCTGCTGCTGTTGGCTGCCATCTTGGAAGGGTGTTTCAGCGAAGGACCCCACAGCGAGTCTATGAAGTGACCGCGGTGAATGCCTGACTGAAAATATCTTCTCACTAAATTATTTTTCAGAGCACATCGTTTATCACTGAAATCAAGAGATCAGTTTCTCCAAGTCATTGTATGATAGTATCTTGTTTTAATATTAAGAATACATTTTTTATCAAATGTATTGTATTGTATTATGTGTGTGCAAGCGCTGTCCAGCAGGTGGAGAAATTGTGTTTTAACAACAATCTCAATTTCCAAACAAAGTAAGAAAAGCAGGCTGGCTTGGTTGTAGACGCCGGACAATCATGTTAATATTGCACTAAATCTAAACTAGATTGGCTAGGTTCAATGTTCAGAAGTAGGCGCATTTTGACAACTTTGGGGCATTGGTTTCTTTCACCGGTGTGGAGAACTCAGCTGATAAACAGGTAAATTATGCCTGTTAGTTTGATTACTACAACAAATGGTAACTACCGTGTTCTTGTATAATGATCCAGTCATGTTTCTAACTTAACTTAAGAATATTCTGCAATGTTTGACACAATACTGGCAAAAAAAAAAAATGTACTCAGGTCCTTTAAGTGCTCCATATAACTTCTATGGTGGGAAGTCTGCATCTGCTTGTCTCCATGGAGATGTAGCCTGAAATGTACCACAGTAAGGCATTGAACTAATCTGTCTCGCTTTTTATATAATTACAGTTTTAGTATGACTAAAAAGAAACACGTAAGTAAATAAACTGGGAAAACATGCATTCTTTCTGGGGACTGTGAGCACGCTCGCTTCTCCATGGATTTGACTCGTGACTGATGATGTCTCCTACTTTTCTACATGGAGACAGATGGAGATAGATAGTGTGGAACATTCTAGGTAAATGCAATAAGATCTCCAGGGTGACAAGCAAGTAGTGTACCCTCCACCAGAAAAGTTAGAAAAGTTTGTCGTGCGCCTTTAAACGTAGTTAATTCATTGTATTTACATTAATGATCAATTCCATATTAGGGATCATGTCAAATGTTTTTCTTTGCAGGATGTCCAGTTCTCCTTTCCCAATGGCTGCTGTGTGTCAGATGACGGCCACTCCAGATAAAGCTGCAAACTTTTCTATCTGTAAAAACCTGGTGGAAGAAGCCAAACAGAGAGGGGCCAGCATGGTGTTTCTGCCTGAGGGGTTCGACTACATCGGATCAAATCGAGAGGAAACTCTGTCGCTGTCTGAGAGCCTGGAGGGAGAAACAGTCTCAAGATTCACCGATATGGCCAGGTTCATATACATTGCTTAATATTTGGCTTTCGGAGTACCACCAGATCTAAATCTGGACTTTATCAGGCCTTCATTCGAGCTAAACCACTTCTAAATTTAGACTAAACCACGAATAAGGTAGTTCTAAATGATAATTAACGCAAAGGACAACAAAAATATGAATGGATGCATTATTAAATAAAACAACAGTTCAGTTCTAGCTCTGGTTTTGGTTATAGTCCCAGTTTATTCCCAAATTTGATGTGATAATTGTGCAAGATATCAATATGTTAAATGAATAAACCTGAATGTTTTTTCCTTGTTTTAGGAGGTTGGAGATGTGGCTGTCTCTTGGTGGGTTTCACGAACGAGGACCAAACTGGAAAACAGACAGGAGAATTTATAACAGTCACATCATAATAAATAATAAAGGTAATCTACCACCATTATGCTATATTGAATTTAGACTTTTATTCTTTTTGTTTCTTTATTGATTCATCTTTAGTATATGTATATTTTTTTCTGCAGGGGACATAGTAACAGTGTACAGAAAAGCCCATTTGTTTGATGTGGAGCTGCCAGAAAAAGGAGTATCCCTCAAAGAAAGTGCTTCTACTATTCCTGGACCTTCACTCATTGCACCAGTTCAAACTCCCATTGGCAAGGTCTTAAAATCCAGTGTTAAACTTTGAACAGTTTATAGACAAAATGCTTTAAAGGTGCTCTATGTAGCCTTTTTGGTGGAGTTTCTGTTGTTATTGTCGTGCCTAGAATATTGTACAGAATGACATTTAAAGCCCATTGCAATTTTTGCGCAATAAAAGCATTAATAATGAAATAAATGCAAAGTGGAAATGTTTAATCGCATTTACTATAATTTACATTCTAGGCAAAGCAAAGGCACCTCCATAAAGATAAGCTTATGGCAGATCCTCCACCAGAAAAGTTACACAGCGCACTTTTAGATAATGACCTAGACCTTTATATGTGCCTCCAGGTTGGATTGGGCATCTGCTATGATCTGCGATTCCCTGAACTCTCATTGGCTTTACAAAGACAAGGAGCAGAGATTCTTACCTATCCATCTGCCTTCACTGTAGCAACAGGAGCAGCTCACTGGGAGGTAAATAATACACATATAACAAATTTTAATGTACAATATATTGCTGAAGAAATTATGATAAATAATATTGATAGTAGATTAAGTTAGGTTAGCCACTGACACAATAACCACTACAGTGAGATAAAAAACTAAATAGACAATATCATTTAAAAAAAAAACATGAGCTGCAATAAATAAATAGCAGAATGAAACACTTTAGGGGTTTGTTTGTACCTAATGAGTCGTAGAAGTGATTGTTCCATCATTGTCATTTATTAATAAGTCGATAATAATTACTGTAACAGCTCTAGTAAATGTGTAATCTTTCAAACAGGTTTGACAGTGACCAAATAGACATGGCTAGACAATTTTGTCAGAGCATCTCCAAAAACTGAAGATCAAAAAGTGGTCCAAGGAAAAATCATTGTCAAGGATTATTTATAGCACATATAACGAACAAAAACAATAAAACAAAGTAGAGTTGTGATATGGCGAAGTCAATGTTTCTGAAAAGTTGTATTGTGTATTAAGAATTATGAGAAACACAGATGTGATGAAATATTATGAACATTTCCATAGCAATTAACAATTGAAAACAATATTATAAAATTTTGCATATAACCACAAGCTGAAAGCATGAATATTCCCACAGATATCTCAACAAAAACTGAGCTGGAGATTTACTAGGTTCAGTGGTGCAATGGAAAATTCTTGCACATTTACAATACATGCCCACGTTTTATTCTCAGATCCTGCTTCGTGCTCGGGCCATAGAGACGCAGTGCTTTGTCCTCGCTGCGGCTCAGGTGGGTCCACATCACGACAAGCGTTCATCATACGGCCACGCTTTAGCGGTGGACCCCTGGGGAGAGGTGCTCGGGGACTGTGGAGGGGAGCAGCCAGGACTCATCATGGTGGAAATTAATCTGGAAAAACTTGAAAATACTAGAAAAAACATGCCAGTTCAAGAGCATCGCAGAAATACTGACTTTTACTACAGTCTGGAGAAGACAAAAGAACGGTGAAAATAGTATTAATTTACAATAGGTTTTTAACTAATGACCAAAGAGATGTGAACCGGATTGCTGGTTAATGATTATATAAAATTGCATAAAATGTGAGAATTTTTTATGCTGTTGACAGAATGTGCTAATCTTTGTTTGTGGCTTCTCATTCAGCGGTAGTAAGTGCCTATACTCCTGCAGATGGCGCTATTGAATCATTTTAGAATATAGCACCAGACCAGAATTACTTTTATTCTTTACCAAGGGGATTTCTTTCTTTTTTTTTTTTTTGTTACAGACATGCAGCCGACCAGCAGAAGAATAGTGTTATCAAAAATTAAGTTAAAATATAAAATAATATAAATAAAATATCAGTAAGGCACTCTTGTTCATTATTTAAATAACTGTATACATTTAAATTTGGGGTCATTAAATGGAAAAGATCCACATGTATTGATTTAATTAATTAATTAAATTAATATATAATGCATTAAGAATAACAGATAACAAATGTATTAATTACAAGTAAAATTAGTAGACTGTTAAGCACTAAATGTCTGTGTGGATTAAAAAAACTCTTCTTATCTTGGCGAACATCAAAAAATGATGTAAGCATGAAAATTGTTTCAATTTATTATAACTAGACTGCACAAGCTCCATAGCTTTCTAAAATAACTGCTTACTAGATCATCATAGAGAGCACATGCGTAAAATTGTTATAACCAAAACAGTAATGCAGACTTAAAATATTAATAAAGCCTAAAAGTTTATCAAAATGGCCAAATAACACTTCTGTTTCCAGTCCTTGATAGCGCTGCAGGGCTCTGATGCCAGACAGACCCGCCCTGTTGCATTGTATTTGATCGCAGCGAATGGATAAATAATTGATCCACCGTCCTCCTCTTTGGATCTTTCACTACAAAGCCTTCGGGTGGAGAGGAGGAGGTGGAGGAGCGCTGGGAAACAGGAAGTGAACGTCACTGACACAGGAATGAGACTAAAAAAAATACAACACCACCAGGATGAGAGGAGAAATGTCTGATCCAACGGCGTAAACCCAAAAAACTGTCATCCACTGCGCGCGGTGAATGATGCGTCAATGTGCGAACGAACGATCTGAGGCTTCGGGAAGGTAAACGAGGATTGCTTTGTTTAACTAAAATAAATTAGCCAGTGGGTGCTTGCTTTCTGCACTGGTCAATTGGGATGTACGCGCTGGTCCATCCCAAGGCCATCCATCCTTGTAGCGCTGTCAGATTTGGCGAAGTTACGCGCAAATATTCGCATCCCGACTGTGCCAGGTGAACAGGTGCTAGTTTGTTAGCTGTAATGCTAACTGCAAAGGCCTTCAAAATCACATTTACTTTTCCATAAACCCGTCGTTAGCCGCAACACTCAATGTAGAACTGTGTCGTTTGTATAATCCACCATGGTTTGATTGTTGGGCATTGGCCTGCTGCGTAAAAGGTAATATTTTGGCTGGCGTTTTTAGCCAACATCTTAAAATAGAATTATAAAATAGAGCAAAGCTAATCCAGATGTTTGGCTACTTCAAACCAATGGTTGCAGAGAGAGACTTGTGGCGGCAGTCATCATGAATTTATTAGCATTTTCAATGAGAGGTAGACTCATCTTTAATTACAACACTGGACACGATTCACATATTATGGTTATTACACCATAATATCTATATTCACCTGAAATCTGCATTGCTGAATTTCTGAACTTTCTGAACTTGGCATGTCTGACCTGCTCCTCGTGCTGATTTTAGAGATATTTTTTAGTATATTTCTTAATAGTGATAAGATAGGCCTATTTAATCACTCTACTGCTTTTTTTTTTTTTCTTATTTTCATATATTTGTGAAAGAAGCTTGATGAGTATGAGACTCTGGGATGTGTATAGCAGAATCATTATATTGTAATATGATATAGGAAAGGCATCCTGGTTTTCATTGTTCCATATGGTCACCATATACCCACCACTGTCTTGTGTTAAAGAAATGAAGTGTTGTATAAAAGTCTTGCAAATTTATCTGCAATTTAGCAAACAATTAATGGTTACTGGGGATACAAATGTTTTTAAATCATTAAGTGGTATTTCTCAAAATTCACCAGTGTTTGCATTTTCTATTTCCAAAATCTCACATTGACAATTTTTTTCTTTTCAAATCTTTTTTATTCTGAAGTTGCCTGACCTACTTTGAGAATTTTTTATTCTGTTAAATATTTAATCAAAGTTAATATATTTACGTCACTCTGAGATTCCGCGTTGGATATGTGATTACCCAGTTAGTGCTGTCAAACTGTATCGTCCCAGACAGATCAGCCCAAAGACATTTCCACTGTTTTATTTATTTGATTTAGGGTTTAGAGTTTGGTTTAATTACAGATCCTGATTGAGTTAGTCCAGTCTGTGGAATTTGACCTATATTTCACTGAAAACGTCCTTTTAAATGTTTCATATGATTATTCAGAGTTTATGGCCCTTATCTAAAGCTACACTAAAAGCATTGTAAAGCAGTGATAAGGGTCACGTCCTTTCCTTGATATGACTTTATATTGGAATTTTGTCTGGGGCTGCCACAATAAATAATGGATAGTCATTTGAACTTTTTTGTAACCATGCAAATACTGGTGAAATTGTCTGCAATGGATATATGAAGAGATAAGAATGCATTTTGGGGTGAGTTATAAACTTATAATCCTCTTGTTGGAGGGTGTTAACCAATGCACTACTGTGGTTAAATGTGCTATGAAACTAGTGTAGAAATGCACATTAAAACCACCTTTACACTCAAATGACTAGATACACTAAATGTATAAATTCATTTAAATTTTAAACTATCATCTCTTCAAACAGGGCACACTTTCTCCTTTGTAATTTATTTATTAAAATACACATGTTTAAAGAAATATTATAATATAAGAATAAACATAAAATAAAATAAACATTTTCACCAATTTAGCATCATCACAGGGATCAGATCATGATTTGACTTTTATCGTCATATTGCCCCGCCCTACTAGAGATGCTTTTATCCAAAAATGAAGTGTAAAGCTGCCGTATTGTTGTTGGAACTTGTTCTTTCACATATAAAAAATCCATATATTGACCTCTTGTCGCTCTGTGATAGACGGATGTCAGTCTCTGCTCTCAGACGCTGACTCACGCTCTGGCACCGGTGCCCTCCATAGTGACCAGAGCTAATTAGATGATGTTACACAGCTAAAAAGAAAAATTCTAAATTACGAAAGCTAAAGGAGTAATAATTGTATTGCCTTTGTTATTATATTATTATGAGACCACCAAGTCTTAAAATCTTGTATCATAAAATCACCAGTGCTTCTATCAACTGGGAATTTTACACTCATAAATGGCCTATAAAAGTCCTTCACATACTCAGATTTAGTCTCAAGATACACACAATTTAAAAGTGCATTGTGTAACTTTTCTGGCTGCCTGCTTTTCTGGAGGCATTATTGCTTTACCTGGAATGTTTCACTGTATGACATTAAACTTCTCTATTTTCTGTTTATTCTGTTCAGTTCAGGTTTTATGCCTTTGAATCGACTTTGAAAACATGTTTTTTTTACTATGAGCAGACTCGCCTCCTCATTGATCTGACCTGTAACTTGGCCTGGTAAAGTCACATGCTTGTCTTTGCAGAGATGGAACATTTAGTGCCATATTATACTGTGGAACATTCCCGACAAAGCAGTAACATCTCCATGGAGACAAGCAGCTGACAAACCCTCCAGCAGAAAAGTTACAAAGTGCACCTCTAGTCATTACTTCAATCATCAAATCTGTAGCCTATACTGTATAAATTATATGTGCAGTTTCAAAATACTGCAAACTGATATATTCTTTCTGAAGTTTATTTTCTTTTTGTACTTGTCGTCCATGGCAACTCTTCCAGCCCTTAAGTTGAACTCTAAACGCACCTCATACACAAAAGGCCTATCAAATACTGTTTTCTTTTGGCCGTTAGTCGCGCCGTTATCTCTGCCCACAGCTCTTCTGCCCACCCGTAGTCTTGAGTTAAAATGAAATCTTCTTCTAACATTTCTTCTCCCCTCGCTGGAGATGCTAATCACTGTTTTGAGTTTTGCAAGAAGTGGAAATACAAAGGCAGTTACATAATTATAGCTTATCAAATTTCAGTGTGGAAAAGTTGAATATGTGACTTGTAACAGTTTATACAGCGCAATCAACAGAGATAGTAGCGCACTGCTGTCTGGTGTCATATTTTTACGCTGATTGCATTGTGTAGTTTGCATGTGTACCGATCGGATACTGGCTTCCAAATATTGATTTAGCCGATATCCTGGTTGGACATATAAATCGATGAAGTAAAATTTCCTGGTCGTAATCGGCCCAGAAAGTCTCATAATGTTGACCTTTTTTTATACACATTTGGATCAGTTTTGTTTTATGTTAGTTTAGTCTTAAGGAAATAAATGCTGTTTGCAATCTTTCAACCATCTATCATTAAATATAGGGTTCCCACAGTCATGGAAATCCTGAAATAGTCATGGAAATTGAAAATGTCATTGTCCAGGCCTGAAAAAGTCATCTAGTTTTGTAAATTCAATGAAAGTTTTGGAAAGGCATGGAATTTTAGTATCTTTGTCACTTAACTACACCATTCTGTTAAGTTCTCATTACAATTAATGCACTGACAGTATTTTAAATGTTAAAAAACTATAATGCCAGACCATAAAGTGAGTGGAAAGGTAAGTGTGGAAAGTATGATCAATTCTACACATGTAGGTGCCGTAAAGTCATGGAAAATTCACTTTAGGTCATGAAAAAGTCATGGAAAAGTTTTGAAATTTTGTCTTTTGTCTTTTGTTTTGGAACTCTGTAAAGCCATAGGATAGGAATTGGGGGAAAAAAGCTGGATCAGTACATCCCTAGTCTTGATTTAGGCTTGGTCTAGGTTTAGTTTCACATTTTAGTCGCAATTTCTATGTGGCATGTGAGTCCTGGTTTGGTCCTGGTTTGGTCCTGGGTTGAGCCTTGATTTGGACTTGGTTTTACCCTGTTCTAGTCCTGATCTAATCCATGTTTAGTTTTGGATTTTGTCCCTGTTTAGTCCCACTTTTCATGCATCATGTTCAGTCTCATAACTTTAAAGTGCTCTGTATTTGATCTGCAATATATAAGTCAGACACTTCTGTACATCTCCATTGATCCACAGGTTGGACGGCAGAATTGGATCCTCACTCCCCCTCTGTCTTTCTTGCTGTGAACTAACTTGAGTTGAATTGAATTTCCGGATACAGCTGATTTGATAGAGCCCTTAGGAAAAACCCAGTGAATAAATGTTATTGTTGGCACTAAAGCAGTTTCTCTTTCCTATTTGTAACGCATTAACCCTGTGCCAGCGTGGATTAGCTATTTTCACTGTTGGCAAAAAGCTATTGTCTGTGGCTGGCCAAACTATCACCCCACCCAGAAAAGTGTTGAGTGCTTCAATGTCCTATCCCTCTAAAACACTATTATTTTTCTTTGGGTTTGAATTGTTTTATTGCTTTACTTATGACCTCTTATATAACTGTGATACTGTATTTATATTACGATATTTACATACATTTATATAATTTATGTCTTACCAATCTCTTGCTATTTTTTATGGCTACTTATTTAGAAGTTTATTACCATTTTTAATATGTTTTTTTACTCTGTGTTATTATAT